CTAGGATCCTTCATCATCACCTCGATCGGAAGAAGAAGAGAATTAATAAGTTCAGCAAGAATAATTTTCTCCGGAGAAAAAACAAAGGAAACGCTCATCGCTAGCACCCACGACGGAACCTCCTCAGCTTCAACATCATCGGAGATCCGTCAACCCCAAAGCATCCACGAATTGTGATCGGAAAGAAAAGAATTCAGAATCACCATCTCGTCATCGCCGTAACGCCACCGGTAGCCATCGAACGAGCCGCTTCGAATACGTGAAACAGGGTGAGCAACTCGTTTTCTTTTGTTTGTTTGGTTTTGTTTTTGCAGGAAGTGAAGAAGAAGAAAGCAAAGTCATGCAAGTGAAAGTGAAGAGGGAGGGAAAGCTTTCATCACCCATTAATGGAGGACGGCCGACGACGCATCAAGAGGAAGAAGAAAGAGACAATATAAAAACCCTAAGGAGACCAAACAATCCGCCCTTTTTATTTCAATTCCCTATTTCTTGTTTTATTGTATTAAGTTAGTTTATTGTTTTATCATTTTTTAAATTTAGGGTTTAACAATAATAATAATTACTGTAACCACCTAGTTTAACTAATTAATCATTTTTTAATAAATTTAAAACAAAAAAAACTAACTGAAAATATTTTAAAATTCAAAGGAGTCATTCATCATTTTTATAAAAACGGAATTCAAGTTGTGATTAATTTGTTTTAATAAACTTAATGCAAAAATCAAAATATTTTACTTTTAAAATTTAAAAGGTCTAATTGTCAATTCATTTTCAAAAATTGAAAACTTTTTTATCATATTAAAATTAAAACATTTTTTTAACATCAAAATTAAAATCATTTTTAGCATTTAAATTAAAATATTTTAATTACAACAAAAATTAAAAACCGACTTTTCTTCATTTGAAACCTTAAAATTAAAATATTTTTTAAATTAAAACAAAACTTTTTAAGTAAAGATATTAAAATTAAAATAATTTCTCCTTTTAAATGCAAAAATTAACTTTTCCTTTAAATAAAAATTCAAAAAATAGAACTCTGGATTTAGCCGTTTCAATTTCTGTCTAACCCTCGTTATTTCTTGTTCATTTCAGCTTTAATCCTTCATTTGTTCGCATTGTCGTTTTCAATTGTAATCATGCGAGGCCATTGTCGCAGTTATTTATTCTTTCTTTTTTTATTTTTGGTTTGTAATTTATGCGAGGTGATCGTCGCAATTTATTTTCAATTCCGTACCGCTTTATACTTTAACATATTTCAATTCCTGCCATGTAATAATTCATTGTCTGCATAATTTTACCGTTAACCTTCCGAAGGATTAGGTCTAACAGTTTGACCGCCGAGTCAATAGTCTTAACCCTTTGAACATTTCAAAACCCTAATTAGCCTAGGTGTCCCGCCGTGAACGAAAAAACGCCCTTTACCCTAGCGTTAGGTCAAAGAGTCGCTGTACTCTGCTTTAGGGTTTCCCGCCGTGGAACTTATCTTTAACCCTAATTTCAATTGACAATTTCAATGTAGAAATAGGAGTCGCAAGATTCCACGTAAGTGTTTCCTTAAGAAATGCTTACTCCCCTTGAAACCTTGACCACAGTCAAGAAGTTTCTAACCTCCCTTTCGAAGGGAACTACGATTACTCTGATTCCATTCCCTACCCAGGATACGTAGGCACAAGATGTGAATCTTGCCGAGTAAACTTAGGACTAACCCTTAGGTCTCTCTGTCACTCTTAACCCTTAGCTCAGTATATATCTTCAAGCAAATAATTAAAGCAAATAGTGAATTTAAGCAAAAGGTTTCTGTAGAGTACTACAGATGTTTAGGATGCTAATACCTTCCCTAAGTTTAACCAACACCTTACCTAGATCTCTCCCCGCATTGTCTTTACGATGCAAAATTAGGGTTTTCCTCTTTTGACCTTTTCCTTCGGATAAATCAACGAGCGGTTGTGAACTAAAGATGTGATTCAAATTAATTAATAATTTGATATCATATTCTAACCGCATCAGCTTCTAAATACATTTGCATGTGAATTTTTCAGAAGTCATAATATTCACCAACAAAACATGAAGGATTGTTGTTGTTGCCACCATATGTAAAAATAGGATTGGCGGAAGGCACATTTATCTGGATCAAGGAGCAAGTTAACTTAACCTGCTTTGATACCGATTGTAAGTATGAAAGATAGACTAAGAGGGGGTGAATTAAAATTGCTGAATTTTTTTTAATATATTTTTATGCAAGTTTATGGCCCTTTTTAATTTTTTGGTTTTATGACACAAAATTAAGTTGTGATAAACTAAATGAACACAGAATTTATACTAGTTTCCCTTATCAGGCAAGGATACATCTAGTCCTTTCACACCTTGAAGGATTTTCCACCGTATTAGATCTTTTTACGAGCCTCACACCTAGACCTCTCTCAGAATCTTCTAACATAAACACCAAACCTATTTGGACTTTGAGTCAACCCAATTTAAAGAACATTTTCACAAACACTTAACGATATGGTGGACTTTGAATATCCCTGAATCAAAGAACCTTTTCCAAGACAAATATGAAATATACCATTTTCTATTTGTAAACACTTTTAGAAAGTACACACATTTTTTTTACAAATTAAGTCACCACACACTTGGTGATCAACTACAATACTTGAACAAATTTGAATATGTGAAATTTTTCTTGAATCAGTTTCAATAGACAATTGATCTTCTGTTTCAATGTATAACTCAATATAAACCTTAAGTGCTGATAAATTTGAATGAAAATTTTCAATGATATGAAAGTTTATGCACAAAATATCATTATTTTATCATGCATGAACATTTTGAAAATTGTTTGAATTGCTTATGAATTAAGATGGAAAGAGGTTAAAACATTGTTATATGATGTACAACAGTATTTATACAACCTATAACACCTATTGATAATGGTACAAACATTTATAATCAATCATGAAGCTTTGCACTTATTTGGAGAGACTTTTGGCAATGAAAAAAATACAATGTTCGGAGGTGTATTCAAATACAATATATTGGTAGTCGAATACAGAATGTCAAATGTTCAAAAGATTTGAATTTTTAAGACTCGTATTCGAATACAAATGTGAATTTTATTTTATTCTTGACAACATTTGTATTTTACTACACTAATTTGTATTCGAATATAGATTCCAACATTTTGGTCCTGCCAAGCATCTGTATTCGATTACATGACATGTGTATTCAAAACTACTTTTAAAATTTTATAAAAATTGATCTCTTAAAACTTGGAACCATGTATGTTCATGAATGCAAATGTTTAAGTAAAGTGAATATGATTTTCTCTAAGCATCTAAAGTTTATGAATAATGAATTGTCATTGTAGCTTGTTTCAAGATCCAATCCTTTGATTTTTATAATATTCAAAGCTTATGCAATTTTGGTACTTGATTTCTAACTTTTTCTTCTTTCATATTTCTTATATGATAAATTTTTTTCTTCATCAAAATAAGCTAAAATAGATGATGAACATATTCTTCACACTCGAGCTTTGGGCTTTTTTAATACAAAATTGTGTTATGTGTTGATAGTAATAGCACTATTCATCTTGTTAAGAGTCTGACTGTTCATAAATTCATAATAGGTCCAAACACATTGATGTGAGATATCATTGAATACGTGATGTTTTGGATGATAAGTTGTTGGAGTTAGCTAAAGTTCAAACGAATGGTAATGACTCTAATATGATGACTAAAGCATTATCAAGAGGAAAATTTGAAGCTTATTCTGATATCGCCGGTTTGGCGATTTCCTCCACCTAATTGTGAGGGAGAGATTTGTTGATTTTGGCCTCCCTTTCTATGTGGAGAATGTCCAAATATGTTAACCCATTTGTTTCTCACTTATTTTAAGTAGAGAGGTCAATTTATGGTTGAGAGAAAAAAAAAGTAGAAAAATCAGCTTAAAAAGAGAGAAAAAAGAAGAGAAACCAATTCTCACTTTCTTGCATCTACTCTTAATAAAAGAGCGGTTCTGAAATCGTTAACTATTGGATCAAACTCGTATTTAACGGAAGGTTCACAACATATGTGTTACCTTTTGACCATTCGGATCAGTAAACCGAAGTATGAGATAAGAGATTTTGCCTTTGCACTAAAGTTGCCGATTTGAATATTTTTAACTTTTTGTTTCTTATTTGTAAGCTAGTATGATTTGTTATTTTGCTATTGTTTGCACTAGTTTGTGAGTCACTTTGAAACTCTCTTATACACTTATATGATTATAGTTAAGTTATTTCTTTGGTCTAAACGACTCGGATTATTTACTATCGAATTAAGGAATTTTACGTTAAAATATTAATATTTTTTATGCTTTTATTTGTTAAATTTTCTATATTTGTTAAAGATATTCATAGATTCTTACAAATTTTAAAAATTTTATTTCTACTGCAAAATTGTGTGTTAATATTCTATTAGAATTTTTTATGTTGTTAGCCACATTTTTATTGTTTTTATCCAAAAGGGTGTCCAACAATAAAACATGCAGAGAAAAAACTGGCCAAATATGTAACACCTAAAAGAGATAAAGAACAACAAAAATTCTAATAAACTGGCCAAATACTTTATTTTTGGTTGATTTAACAATGAAAAAAGAAGTCCTTAACTCTAATAAAATACCCTAAATACTTTTGTTGTATCTTAATATGAGTCACCCTTTGTACTTGTTCAGAGCTCTTGGCTCTTCCTCCCAGACTTAACTATCTTTCAATAAAGATTTTAGAAGTGTTTTCTTCTCATGTTTCATGATTAATATTTTTTCTTTATATTAAAAATGATAAAGTTGTTGGCTTAATTATAGAATTGTCTACATGGATCTGAAATAAACAAAATTGTCCATATATACAAAGAAGTAAGAAACTAAAGTAAAACAAAATGAAAACTCATACAAAATAGCAAATTATTACTTTTAGCAAATACTAACAAAAAAGATTAGAGGTAAAGCAAAGCAACCATTAGTATTTATTTTAGCAAAGGAAATGTTGGAACTGCAAAAGAAGTCCTCTTCACAAACCTCCCTTTCATTCTTGGTCTCTTTTCTGCATTCAACTTCCTAACCTCGTACCTTATTTTCTTCGAAAACAACCTTGTTCTTCTCTTCTCTCTGTATCTTGAAACCCTTGCCTCTCTACCTCCATCTACCATCGCTTGATTACATCCATATCCGCCAAATTCACTGTAAGGATATTGAACCTCCGTCGTTCCACAAATCCCCTGAAAATAATTAATTATACGTCACAATTAAACATCTAATATAAAAATGTTACGTCGATGATCTTATATCTCACCCTGATGAGATCGTCGACATAACCAAACATAACAAGAGATGTAGAAAAATTAAATTTTAAAATTTTTACCATGAAATCTGTCAAGGTCTCATCAATATCCAAATTTGGCTTGTCACCATTAGTCCATGGACATTTTTGGCTATCCCATGCAATGATTACTGCATCATAATCTAATTGCAAAGATATTTTCTTTTTCACCTTATTATTATTTTCATTTTGTTCTATTTCCAAATCAACCTTCTCCTTCACCTCTTCACATGTTTCATAATCAAAATTCAACTCAAATGAAGATTCTTTCCCCATATCCTTTATATTATCATCTCCCTCAACAACTTCATGAACCTCTTCACCTTCTTCCTTCACCTTCCCACTACACTCCCATTCCTCATCCTCTTGTTTCGCATCGATCAATCCCAGCTCTTCCATTCCCATACACTCGTTTTCTAATCCCTTACCCAATAAACTCTCGACATCAGCTGCGAATTCAGCTAATTCAATATCAGATGGAAGAAGCCCGCGAAAGCCTTCCATCTCAATATTACTCTCACCACCACTCAAACGGATTCTGCTTTCGCTCCTATCAGAAGCGAAAGCAGAAACACCACTTACCATTTCTAGTCCTCCTTCAGTTGAACCAACCGAAGGAGAACTAGTACATAATTCAGCAACAAAAGGATCAAAAATCGGTACCCTATAAAGCAACTGCTCCTCATTTTCTTCATTCGAACCCGATTGAACCTCATCCAATCCCAATTCCGGCACAAGATGAAACGGATTATTAACATTAACACTAACATTAACATTAACATTACCATTACCATTACTCTTCTGTTTCCCTTGTCTCGGTGTTCTAGCTTTCTTAGTAAAACCAGAAAACGGACCAGAATTGATATCACCAACGGGCTTATACGACGCCGTTTTCAAACGAACTCTTTCATGTCTCCTAGCCAAAGAATTAGCAGAATGAACTGAAGAATCACAACCTTGACAGAGAAAAGCATCATCTGCAGCACAATACCAACGTGCTCTCTTTGTGATGCAACTATCACAAGCTCTAGCGGTTTTTCCTCCAACCGCTTTTGCTAAGTTTTCACTTGAACAAGTCATCACAAAAACACTAACAATACTCAACAATGAAAAAAAAGTGAGTGTGGTAGTGACCCACAAGAAGCGCTTTTGCAGTGTGTATTTAAAAAAAGCTGAGAGATAGTTTGGATTTGAACTTTTTTGAGAGCTAAGAGGATTAGTGGGGTCCATAACGTAATTGAATTTATCTTATCTCAAATTTGATTGGTTGAATTTTTAAAGTTGATCCTAATCTCTTGATTCTCATTGGTTGCGTTTCTAATCATAGGATTTCTAGTGGTGGCCCACATGGTTGTGGATGGATCAGATTTTGAACAAGACATTTTTGTTTTAGCCTCTTACGTGGGTAACGAGTGAGTGACTTTTGTTCTATGGTTTTTTTCTCTCTTAATTTCTTTTCCACTTACTTTTGTCTTTGGCATTTTATGATTTTTTTTCTGCTTCATCTTTTCGTGACAGTGTAACCAATGATATAGTGCCAGGTAAAATTTGGTATTGGTTTGATTCGTGTCTTGTTAATGTGATTTTTATATGGGATATGGTTTTGGGTAAATTTTGATTTATCTTCAAGTATCCATTTGAAGTGACTAGATGGGTGTGGATTGGGCAATTTCCACTAGGCAGTAGAGGACGATTGCCAAGTTGGAGAGATGTCACACATAAAGGATTTGTACATTTATGAGTAAATTTGTAAGTTACTTATTAAGATAAAATGGGACCTATGCATGTTCCATAGAGTGGTGTATTGTGTCGTATATGATGGTGGTTGTAAAAATATTTCATACCATAAAATTATAAAAATGAATTTAGATATATAATTTTTTATTTGCTTTAGTTATTTTTTTTCCATTTGAAAATTTAGGTGACTTGGGTTTTAGGTCTCACCAAAGTTAAGGTAGACCTCAAATCTCAAACAAGAAGTTTACATAGGTATTTATATATTACTTATAATAAATATCTTGGTATCGAATATGAAAATTAAACTCACAATTTTTTTAGTATGTAAGCCAACTTCTTATCGGTTGAGAGAATTTTTTTTTACTTATTTTTTCTAATTTTTATTATAACATAATTTTCTTTTATTTATAAAATAAATTATATATTTAGTTTATATTTAGTCTAGATATATTACTTATTCAATAAATTTAAAAAAGAGTTTAATTGATATGCATTAAAAATGTAAAATTACTTTACACGGTTATCAAATAAAAATTTATCAATATGTATATCATTTCATTAACTTAAAATTTACAGTATGATGTGATGAGATACACGAGGGTGATTGGTTAAAAATGTAAAATTATTTTACACGGTTAGTGTCAATAATATATATTCCATTTTCTCTTTAAAAAATAAAATTTTGTTTTATATTAGAAATAAAAGATTTAAGAACAGAGAATAGTGTATATGAATATCACTAAAAAGAAAGAAAAAAAACATGTTAGTTTTACAGTAATTGAGAATTTATTTTTGGTTTATTTCAAATATTAAAACAAAAAATATAGCTATTTATTAAACTTTTTAAGTATTTAATTTACAAATATCAACCACTACTCCTTTACAATTAATATAAATTTGTTTATAATAAACTAAATAATGCTATTGATAGATTTTGAACCATAAATCAGCATTTTGTTCCCATTCAACTTAACTAACACATATTAATTAAACTATTTCATCCATCTTTCTATTTAATAATTTAAATTTTGGAAGTTTAGGAAAAAAAAAACAATTAGAAGTCAGTAACGGTTTCTTTACTGAAATAATATTCTTTTTTTAAGAATTATCTATCAAAAATTATTATTTTTAAAAATGTTTTAAAGTTTTCTTTTATTTTTTTGTGAAATTATCATTTTATCAAAAGGTTTTTCTTTTGAAAAAAATTAAACTCATGAATCCTTAATATTGTGCAATTGATAATATTAAAATAATTTCAATGACATATTTTGTGTATATATATATATATATATATACACCTTGCATAAATTAGAACTCACGATTGACTCACTCATGAAGATGTGGATACATCAAACATGACCCACAAGTCATCCATCCGAAGTACGTGGCAATGTCAACTAAGTGACGCATCTGATGATGACTATTGTACGGTGTATAACGTATATCATTTGATGGAGTGCAGTCAAGAAACACTCTGAAGAGCTCGGTCGCTTGATTCCCTCTAAGTGAAACGAATGGACAAGCATGTGGTTGATCCTCAAAGTAGTGATTAACAAATGACTAGCCGAAGATGCGTGGAAAATGTTCAAGGATCCATGACTGAAAATGGTATAGATGAAATATTGATACTGGTCTAACAATAAATCTGAAAACTTATTACCGTAAACAATGTGCAACTTGATGCCATTTATCTGGTTTTCTAAAGACAACATTCAATTAAGTTCGAGTACATGTAAATCAAATAAGCGCCCCCCAGTTGTACTCATGAAAGCGCTCGAAGTCAATGAAGTACCTATAGTAAACCTCATTGACATAATAAGCATTTTTGTCCATAAATATGGACGTTCCAACCACATATATGATGTATGACCTCAATGCACATGCTCTATAATGCAGAACACATGCATCATCTCCATAGGCCTCCACTGCCGTAACCAGGTGGTATACATACAACTTTTCTAGAAATACAAATCTAGCATAACACCCTACGGTCTCTTCCAGCTTCTTTAGGACATCCTCTAGATCAACTATAAAATAGGTCATTATCATCTAAATGCATCAAGTGTAGTGATTCTAGAGTGACCTAATAATCTTTCCCTAAATCGAAAGATGTAGCAGGGATGACACATTATCTAGTGTGACCCACATCTCACGAATAGGAAGATGAAAAAATGGAATCTCTTGTAACATCTGAGATCGATGAGGGTGGGGAGTTGCCGCTGGTGCACAAGGCATGACAATGAGCAGCTCTTGGCAACTTCTAGGCAAAAAACTGAATTCACATCGGAATGAGAGAGATCCTGAGGATGTGCAGGTATGAGACTACATGGATGAAGGAAAACTTATAAGGATTGATTGGTACTACCTATACTAATAAAGATGCATCATCTTTTTGATAGCCTAACAAATAAGTACGCGATAGTTAAACGTGTTTGGCTTGAAGTAGTATTTGGATGGGTGACCTTCTGAGAAGGTTCCCTAAAAGCGTGTGAGTGAGGACAAAGCATTCTAAAAAGATCCGTGTTGGTTTGTAGGGTCATTCGATAATCCTAAAAGTAGTCTAAGGCATTACGAATGGTATTAGAGAAGACCTATCCCAGTACAATGTGGTTTGGGGACGAACCAAGCGAAAATTGGTAAGCATGTAACACCCGAGGCCTACGAGGGAGGGGAGTTTTTGCCGGTGCACAAGGCATGAAAATGAGCGACTCTTGGCAGCTTCTAGGCAAAAAACTGAATTCATATCGGAATGAGAGGAATCATGAGGCTATGCAGGTATGGGACTGCATGGTTGAAGGAAGGTTTATAAGGATTGATTGGTAATACCTATACCAATAAGATGCATCTCATTTCAGTAGCCTAATATATAAGAACTGCATAGTTATGTGTGCTTGACTTGGAGTAGTATTTGGATGGGTGACCTTCTAGTAAGTTTTTCGAAGAGCGTATGAGTGAGGACAAAGCATGCTAAAAGACTAGTGTTGGTTTGTGGGGTCTGTTTGTAATTCTGAAAGTCTTCTAGGCGTTACATCTCTAAGTTTTATCTCTCCATAAGAAACTGACAGCATGCCATGATTAATCACAATGTAAACAGTCATGCATAAAATTTGCAACCCAGATAGTCGCATAACATCATGAAACTATTGTTCATCAGGCTGTTGTAACTTCGCAATCTTCCTACCATGGTTGACGCATTTCAAAGCATCATGGTTTAATTTGCATACAGAGGCATTAGTGAAGTTTCATAGGGGCATCCTTCAAATTCCTCACGAACGGCAGCATCAGTAGCAGGTTCATCTACATGGTCTGGTTGGGTTTTCGGGGCAACAACAAGTGACACTTGCCTTCGAGAAGACAAAGTCGAAGACACTTGAACTCTAGATGTGGATGATTCCACATGAAACGAATTGTCACCAACCGATAATTGTGATGGTCGGACTCTCTCTCTGCGAACAAATGCATCCTGGGATGCTCTGTCGTGCCTCAATCTTTCTTGGTTGTAAGTCATTTTACCTATAACTGAGCCAAACAAAATAGACAAAATCAAACCCATGTGACGGAACCAAACAATGCATACAAAGAAGATAAAATATAAATAAAAAAATAGAAAAAAATACATAATTGCACTTCTGGATTTTTGGAAAATCAAATTCAAAGAAAATACGAAAGTGCACTTATATATTTTCCTGAAACGCAAAAATGGCAGAAAATGCATAAAAGCCTCGTGTCTTATGATCTAAATGTAAATGAATACCTCAATAAACTACATATTATGAGTCTAACTATAACTTAAAGCACCCTGAACAACTTATTTAGTAGTGCATGTATCACAAATAAAAAAAAAGTGAAGGAAATAATTTTTTTTTATCAAATGTGAGAAGTAGAAGCTTTTGGATTGAATGTACTTGATTAATGATTGATATACCTCTTGGAGTATGCGGAATGCATTAGAAACTTTGAGAAAGGTTGAAAATGGTGATTTGGGGAGCTCTCACGCACAAATGAGGAAGTTTTGCTTAGAGGTTTTATTGGAAATGATGAAAGGGGAAGGTCTGACACGTCGTCCAGAGGTATGTTTTTATATATTTTTTTGCAGAGATGCATTTCCGTATTATTTTTTTGACAAAATAAGAGTGTGACTCACTTACAAATAAATGAGATGTGAACTTTTAATTCGTCATAAAATATATATTCGTATTATAAGATTTTTTTTGGCTTTTCACAAAAGAGTGTGAGCACCCTAACCACTAATAATGTAATAAAGAATTCTCTACAAACATTGCACCCAAATACAAAGTTCAACATATTATAAAGGATTTGAGCAGAGTCAATTATGGGTCTGC